AATAAAACTATGGTTGATCTCGTAAGTCACAACTTAATTACCATTCTCATTTTTACAAGCAAGAAAATTACCTTATCCTAAGACATCAACTTAATTCTTTTTGCTTTTTAAGGAAATGAAGTACTAATCATCAGAGTTAGGTATGCTCAGATGCTAATTTGCTTATAGTAAAAACAAAATTATGATTAGAAATGCAGTGTTTTAGATGGAATGGTAATCCAAAGCCAGATTTTGGATAATAACTGGCCCGGTACATCCTAATAATTTGCCATGCAAAGTTTCTTAGCAAACCTTAATCATGACGATGCATTCCATGATTAATAGTATAATCTAATAGTTAAAATTCAAAGAATCGGAATAAGGAAAAAGGCTTAAATTTTATGTAACAAAACTATCTTACTATTATATAGATTATACAAATAAATACTTAATAAAGAAAAAATATTACAAAAAGATCATAGCATTAATTTTCTATTATAATGCTTCCTAAAATCAGCCATCTAATATTAGGAAGGAGAATGACAAATCCAGAAGGTCAGCCTCCCGCTAGATTCCGATCTCTAGCCGGTGGGATCAAAATGCCAAGGGAACGGCTAGGATATTTATTCATAATAGTATGATTTAACACCGGTAGGTCTTCGTTGGAATAAAATAACAAAAAAATAAGAAGCCTTATGTCATTGTTTTTAAGCTTAAGCTTTCCGATGAAGTTTTCACTCCCATGTCAGGTATAATGCCAAAATCATTACAGAAAAGAAACCTCTTATCAAGTACAGAGCAGCCGACATATCAAATGGAAAAAAAAAATGCAATCATAGATATGCCTCAATCTTCAATCCTGGTATAGGTAAAAAATAAACAGATCTAGCGTAGTGTAAAAGCTAAGACCTGCAATTCTTAGGCAGGATGATAAGAGAAACAGGTAAAGCGGTTTCCTTACCAGTCTTGAGATGCATAAATGCCACTCATCAACGTGAGAATGAAAACAACCCAACATAATTGTAGTGCTTAGATCTCACG